CCGGGGTACAGCAAATGACAAACTAGGATGATAATTTTTGAAAAGTTTCAGAAATTAAATTTTTTTTTTAAAGATTCAAGACAAAGTGATAAAAGAGAACTGAAATTAATCGTAGCAAGAAAAATGACAGAATAATTAAACATGTTGAGGTAAAAATGAGAACTAGATAAAACTTCTGATTGCTCGAAACTTAAGAAAAATTATCTTAGTTCCAATGAAAAATTCATGCAGTTTTGATTAGATGTATATCAGTTTTTTATGAAAATTTAAACTTTTAATCTCTCAAGAAGGTAATTCACGCTTCAGTAACTCTGTGGGGAACTGCTAATCTGCATCTGTCATATGATCGTGGGATATTTATGTGAAAAAAAAGATGAAATAAGTCATAAATTAATAAGTATAATGGAGCTGCCATCCGTTCTCCAGATAACCTGGGGACTGAAAGATTAAGTGGGGTATAAAAGTAATCAACCGTGAGGAGCTGCCAAGATTCCCCTGATACCTCGTGGAGTAGAATAATAAACCGGTCAAAGATAATCCCCTCATGTCAATTTTCCCCAGATAACCTGAGGGGATATAAATAAGATGAAACAAGTCTTTATAAATTTTTTTGAAAAAAAAAATGTTCTGTGGTTAATTAGTTTATCAACTCTAAATTAAAACTTAGTTTTTTTGAAACTTACCATCTGAAACTTACCAATCAAAAAAAAATTTTTCTTTCGATTTTTCAAGATAAGAAGGTTTTTTCAAAGATAAAATCTGTTTGCAATTAAAACTTATCTTTTCAAAAAATGTCCGAAATTTACCATCTGAAATTTACCATTAAATTTGTTTTTCTATTTTTCTAGATGAAAAAAATTTTTTCAAGACAAAAATTTAAAAAATACATTAAAAAAAATTTTCGAAGTTTTGTTTCGATTTTTCAAGATAAAAAAGTTTTTTTTCAAGATAAAATGGGCAAAAGAACTTGAAAAATTTTCAAAAAAGTTTCTGAAACTTACCATCTGAAACTTTACCATCTTAATACTTCAGGAAAGCTATTCCCTATTTTATTACTTAGGAAATCTATTCCCTGTCTTAATACATAGGTTGCAGACCGGATGCTTTATTCCCTTTCTTGATACATGAGGTCTTCAACCACCCCCCCTGATTGCCTCACACAAATACTACTGTTATCAATTGCCACAGATGGTAAAATTGCTTCTGCTAATCGGGAAAAAAATTCTTTGGGAAAAGAGAGCATGATATGACCAAGCAGAAATTTCGATTTAGTGTGTTAAGGATTATTTATTTTTCTCCAATATTTATTTTTGGAATGTATCAATTCAATTTTATTTTTAATGGCTTAAGACTTATAAGCAGAAGTGAATTGCTTCGAAATCAGTACTGACAACTGCTGAGCTGTTTTCCTCAAGCAGAGAACAATTATAGTCATATTTTTTGTTTGTAGAGTCAACTTCAATTTCTTGAACAGTTCCCTCAGGATAAGTTATTATCATAAGTTGAATACAAACATTCGGTTTGGTTTTTGGTAGTCTTGCTGTTGCTTTTAGTGGTGATAGTTTGCTTACGTGACCTAGGACTTGAAATAATAAACAAATTTCAAACCAACGTTTAAATAATTGTGTTCGTGTAAAATATTTGTTTTTTACAGACAAAATTAAACTCCTTCTTAATTAACTTTTATGATAGCAGATTCGTTACTTTGAAGAAACGATCATTTATATTTTGGACTTGATGATTCGATGACAGCTTCATGAATTACTTTTCCTGGAGAATCATCGGCATAGGACGTATAAAGTTATTGGTTCCTAATTGAGGTAAGTCAACAGCTGCTATTTGTGTAAATAGTTTAATTGTAAGTGTGGAAAATTGGGTCAGTAAATGAATTTGTCTGTTTGAAACATCGACTAGAATTTAGTCTATAGAGATGCACAATGTTCTTAAGGGCATCTGAAATAGAAAATTGATGCCTTAGATTGGTGTTATAGTGTTGTTGTTGGTGGTTGAATGAGGGATTGTTGGGCTAGAGATAGTTCCAACTACAGTATTCCGTACTAAATGTTCATTTTGGTTATTTAGGGTTCTGGGTATAAACCAAGATCGTTTCGTGAATCTTGTTGCTATAAAGGCACTGCGGGCTCAGGTCGCTCTACCAAATGTATCGAAGCAGTGCTTTCTTGGTAAATGTTTTGATTATGGTTTTGTTGTCGTCTTTGATTTGGTTTTGAGTTTCTCATTGCCTATGATTCAGGGTTGGAGTTTTCGTTTGAAAAGTAAAAACTGACGAAACGAAAAGTTTATACGTTCTACCTAACAACTTTTTCCAGAAGCTCATAGTGCGCTTGGTTAGCTTATTAATTTCTAAAGCTTCAATAATTGTTACTACTATTTCTAGCAGAAATATGAGAAAAAGAAAACAGGCAAATTAACTTCCGAGATCAGCTGAAATAAATATCCCTATACTTATAATAACAAAGGCAATCATTGATAAATATTTGAAACTTCCTGGTAAGTTGCACCGTCGAGCAATCATTGCTTTTGCACTGCAATTTTAAGACTACTCGTATTAAAACACTGAACGTCAAAAGTTGAAAACTATCATGGCAACAGCAATTTTCTAATTAAAACAAAACAACTGAATTATTATCAGTGCTAAAAACAACGTGTGTTTTCGCTAAAAGAATGATAAATACATACTTCTTTTAAACTATAATCTGGAATAAATACTGAACGCACATAAAACCAAACAAAACGTTAAAATCCAAAGACAATAAAAGAATATCAAACATATGTTTTTTGTCAGGTTTTCTTTATACGTTTTCATTCCTCAGAAATAATACATATTCTAAGTTTTTTTGTGCTACTAGGTTTTTATTAAAGGATCAGTTCTTTTTTGTATCAGTTTCTAATAAATATGTATTTCATAAAATATTTTTTTATAATTCTATAAAGCTATAGATGATCGCAGACTTACTTTGCGGCTCTTAAAATTGCACTATTCGCAACTCTTGTTTCCATTTTTTTAATTAAAAAATTCAATTTTTTTTCTAAATCATTAGAAGGCACGCTATAAGTGAGAGTTAAGCTTTTTGAATTGTTATTTCGCTAGAATCGGTGTTGAAGAATCTAGCAGTCTTCAATTGGTTTCAGATTTCATGAAAAAAAATGGATCGAAACAACGATCAAAAAGATTTATTTACTTAAGATTAGCAAAAAAAAAACTACCGGATTCGACGGCCGTTTTCACAAATCTCAACAATAGTTATTTAACCACAGTAACAAATATTGGTTCATCAAAACTATTACTTAAATAAAACATCAACGAAGCATAACAATTGCTGATTTCGATGCTAATTTTTTTCAACCTGTTTAAATATCTGAAAATTTGATTCTGAATTACGCTATTACATAACTGAAAGAGATTTTGCACAACTTATATAAATTAGTCCTATGTTTGGCGCCAAGTCTCCCTCTCTTACGCAAGTAACTGTTTGAAGCTATAACTTCCTCCTCTGTTCCACATTTAGATGTTTGTGAGGTTGCTCAGTTAATCTGGTATATGTAGAATGGTGGCCGGCCAATGGAGCAGAATGGCCTGAGAGCGGAAATGGTCTAAGAGCAGAAAAACAGGCAAGTAATGATTTCTTCGGTCTAATCGATAAAAAAATTATTGGGATCATGAAAAATAATAAGGAAATGGATGAATGATACATGAACTGAATAATTTTGTTTCTCAATTGAATTTTTTTAAAATGCTCAAATTATTCAATTTGTGCATAATCTAACCGTTTCTGGGGTAATGTTGACAATTCTAATACTTGCTTTACGCATTAGCTTACAAAGAGTAATCTTTTTTCTTGGTTTCTGATCTCGGACTCATTCTGCTTATTGCTCCACCTCCAGGTTAAATATCTTATAAATTTGACTTTTATTTCTATTTTAGAATTTTTGCGGTTTTGTTGTTTCTGTGGTTACATGTCATTTTGCCCCAAGTCAACTTGTCCCAGCCCAACTTTTCCGATTCCAACTTGCCCCAGATGACAATTTGTCCAATGTCAACTTCTCCCACACAATAAAAAAAAAACTTGCCCCAGATTCTTTGATATCCTCGTAGAACATAATGTCGGCATGAAGATGCAAGATAATTTTGTTGAACAATTAAGCTTGAAACAAAATGCGGAATCATTAAAACATGTGCTGAATCAAAATGAGTTTAAAGCATGCATGAACAAATTGAATGCGGCAAAATTTCAATGCAATTTCCATGTCGAGGTAAACATTTCAAAAGATTGATGGCAGTTCTTGTAAGCTCCTATAGCATAGTTAATAGTGCACAACACTACTAATCAAGAAGTCAAGAGTTCAAAACTTGAAGAAGTCAAAAAATTTTAGTTTGAAATCGATGAAACAGAAAACCGCAGGTACCGCCTCGCCCCTAAAACCCCCCTACACTGGGTAACCCAGAAAAAGGGGCGGGGTGAGGTAAAAAGCAAAATAATTGCAGTATTGGCCTTTATCGCTTCTCAAAATTTGGACCCTGTACCCTGGAGCTAGTGCATATAAATAATCAACACCATGGTCTTTGTTGAAATTACTAGAAATGTTTTGGTTTTCTGCATGAATATCCCGATATTTCTTCCGCCCCTGATTCTGTGTTCCCCCCATAGCCTTCAAAATGTTGAACTTCTGATTTGTTGAGTCCATTTGAATCCTATTCAGGAAAGTGTAGAGGCTTGGGTGGCTCCCTTGAAATAATGCTGTCACTCCAAGATGCCAACCTTCAACGGTGTTTGTCGTTCGTATCAAGCCTTCCGCTGCTTCTTGGGAATGGTTCCAGAGACTCATAGGGAATAACGGTTGCCTGCTGTTTCGCCTATGGTTTTGCCTTATACCAACAGGTTTTTTGTTTTTGTCTTAGCTTTGAAATTTAAAGATCCGTTAGACACAATTTTAAGGGATGATTGAACGTAGATTGGGGAGTCTTGCTCGGTCACAGCCTTACTTTCGTATTCACGAATTTCTTTGTCACACAATATTGTTTTTTGAATGAATCTATTTACACCAAGTACAATGAGTTTGAATTCATCACCGAGTGCGTTTACAACTCCTCGTTTCGCTTCTCAGAACTGGAGTCATGGGTCACCAAGAACTCCTGCAGGTAGTCCATGAACAGATCAGGGTTGTCTATGAAAGACATATGGCCAGCATTGGGAATGATTTTCAGCTCCGAGTTTTGGATTCCATTCGCGACGTGAGTCAGGCAGTCGTAGGTCATGGTGTCGTGTTCTCCTCCAATCACAGTCGTCGGGTACTTGAAAAAAGATGGAAAAAATTTTGTGATATAAGAAATTCGCGTAAGGGACATCACATGGAGTTATTAAGACAACCAAAAAGAATCTGGAGCTCCAAATTTTCCAAAACTACTGAAAAAATCCACAATGGCAAGTGTTTTTCGACTAATTATCTTCTAGCTAAAATCTTCAAGCCTTTATTTAAAAAAATAATAAAACAATAAGAAACAATGTGACAGTCGTTTTCAACCAACAATGGAAGTTGTCATTAACGCTTAATATCCGGCCTTTTACTGGATTAATTATTTGTCATTAGCGCTTAAGTTGTGATAAATTATTGTCATTAACGCTTAAAATCTGATGGGTATCAGTACAAAAAAAACCTCTAGATGGGTATCAGTACAAAAAAAATCCGAAGTTTCTCACAAGTAAGTGATCAGAACAAAAAGAAATCTTTTTCAAATATAATGTATAACTATATAATAATACCAGGACTAAAGATTTGTATTATTTTGTTCGGACTTTCTAATTATATTGCCATATTTTTGCATTTTTTTATTCAAATAAGCTAAAAAGATTCTAAAAATTGTAAGTTTCAAATCTGATAGCTTTTGTTAGGAGCGGATCTAGGATTTTTTTGAGGGGGGGAATTTTCAAAAAAATTTCTAAAATTTTGTCGACTTTTTTTTAGGTCGACCAAATTGATTTTCCGAGCTCTCCCAAAGCATTAAAAAGATCCTGTTTTGGTTAAATTTTCTGCGCCGCAGGTAAAATTTTGAAAAAAAGACACTTTTAGGCTCTTTTTGGAAAATGTTGACCAAAAATCGCGTTTTCCGACCCGCGATCCCCCCTCAAAAACTAATATTAATTGGCGCCGAAGGGAACCTCACAAAAAATAGATATCTAAAAATAGTTTAAAGGGTGATCTTTTTGGTCGGCAGGGGGTCGAATATCTGAGGAAATAGCGTGCTCCCCCCCCCCCCCCTTAATCCGCTACTGGCTTTTGTGCCTGCTCTCAAATTAACCTTAAGAATTTTAGAGTTTTTTAAATAAACTGAAAGAGAAACGAATGGCTTTTAGTGAAAAAACTAATTTCATACCGAGGCCAACGTGTGATTTAATTTATTCTAATAACTGATCTTTTAATTCGCTATCCCCTTCTTTAAAAGCGGTCTCACTTTTAGTCCGTCCACTTTTCCAGTCACATCCCAATTGAGTAACTTGTCGCTCATTGTGAACTCCGAGGGTCCATTGATGTCCACGTAGATCTCCATGTTTATGCCAGCAAATGCATCCTCCACACAATCTGGCATCGGAATCAACCGACTGGTCCACAAGCCTGTAGTAAAGGTGGCCATCCGATTATTACCTTCTTTTTCTACATTGCTACTTCAATAAACAGCGTCTATTTAAAAACACAATCAACGAAACACAACTGGACTTTTTAGTTTTTTTTCCTAAAGTAAGTTAACTAGTTATAAAAAGCCAAGAACAAAAAACCATGCTTGAAATTCGCTGAAGTTTTACAGAAATTATACGAAAACAGCCGGATGCTGTTCGAATGGCATATGGTGTTCCGGACACGGTTAATTTTTTTTGAAAGCAGCTTGGATTGGATTTAATCGGCAGTCAGATGGTAAAAAAAATCGTCAAAAATGCTAAAAAGTCAAAAATTGGCTGAACAAAAAAGTTGTTTGAAGAAAACGTGAAAAAAAGAAGCGTCGGTTTTGGCATCTTTTCACAAAACTAAGCCTTCCTTTGGGCCGCCAAACATGCCATTTCTGAACTCACCAGTTAAGTAAGTGTTGACCGCTTCATATAACGGTGAATTCCAATCTCCCGAAGCTTCAAACTGCTTCAAAAGTTTCTGCAGGTAAGGCGGCAGAGATTTATGTCGTACTTCGCGTTGGCTTTCGATGTAGAATCGGCCACTTGATAAAGCCCCCACCAAAACTAACCCAAGCATTCCCTCAGGCTCAGTCATGGCGAACTCTTGGGCCACAACCGTGCCCCAACTATGGCCCAACAGATGGTACTTTTCCAGTCCGAGATGTTTGACTAGGGCCTGGAGCTCATCTACATAGTAGGGTATCTCCAGTAGAAATGGCGCGTTTTTAGTGACATTTGCGATAAAAGATTCTCCAGTGCCGCCTTGGTCGTACCTAATGACCTAAAAATTGGTGGCAGAAATTTTAAATTCTTAAAATCAATTTGAAAAAATAAAACAGACGAGGCCCAAAAAATGAAATTGACCAAGAAATTTCATCGCTATTTGCTTAATTTTGACTATAAACATTTTTATTAACAAACGTTCATAAATCTTTATAGACAGCAATTTAAAGGAATCAGAAATGGGGATATGAAGGCTCTGAGATGACCTCGAAGTTAAAAATGTGCAACTTAAATTTGCAATTAGACAATTTAGTTCAACTTTTGGGGTCAATTATTTCTCTTGAACCTAACAACTGACTTTTCGTCCTCTACAAGCTAATTGCTTCAGAGGCTGCATGTATGCTGAGGAAGCTCCCGGTCCACCATTCACGACAATAATCGGGTCCATCAAATGATCCCTATTTTCTTTGTCTTCGTACACCCAATAGGTGATCGTTAGCCCGTGCACTTCAAATGACCCTTTAGTTTCGGTGAGTTTCTTGCAATCCGACATTTTTTCTACTATGTCAGAACAAGTAAAAAAGGCTCCATTGGCTAAAAGTGAAAGGGAGCTAAAGCAGGCAAACAAGGTAATAAATGCGTTCATTTTACAGACAAAATAAGCTAAAAAAAGTAAGCTACAGGTAAAGTAAACCAACACTGAATGAAGGTAAAGATAGAAGCTTTGCTAAGTAAATAGTTTTGTCCAGCAACTGCTTAGATTGGTATGCTTATGCCGACTTTGAATGTATTTGATTCTGCAAAATTAGTGCAAGTTAGATCAAAACATATGATTCGAATGAAATGAATGAATGATAAGCTAGCAAAAGCTTTCATATTTTGTAACTGTTGAATTCATATAGCGGGGACCGATCGTGGTACTACTATGATAGAGTGGTCCCTTGAAAATAACCAGGTCCCTTGCGAATAAGACACATAGAGCTCTGAAATGTTTAACAATTATGATTTCGCCATTCAAAAAGATGTCGCAGTTTATTTTCAAACCAGTTTTTGGTTTCTTTGTTTCGTAAATCCTACCCTCTCAACATATTTAAAAAATTGGAAAAAAAATTGCCAAAATTCAATTTTGATATAAAATAAGCCAATCCAAGAATGGTTTTTAAACCGTAAAATAAGTTGAAGCGAGCATAGTTCTTGATATAAAAAATCATAATAATCACAATTTTTAATGAGAAAGGTTTCTGACTCAATATATTTCGCCAGATTTTTGAACTGAATAATTTATAAACAAACTAGTTTTCAAATTATAACATGCGAAATGCATGCGGGACCTGTCTATCATAGTTGCTTTTTCGAGGGACCACTCTATCATAGTAGTACCCCGATCGTTTAGCAGACCAATCTTTTAGCATAATTGATTGACAGACTCAAAAAGACGCTCAGTCTTGTTTCAAGTTTCCCCAAATAAAACAATTATCTCCGACTTTTCAACAAAACTACCAACTTCAAAAATACAACGGTCTAAATTAGCAGCAAAACAAAGGCTCACGCGAACAATAACACTTATGTCAAATGGAAGCGCTGCAGAGCAAGCGGTCGCTAATTGCCAATGCCGCGTTTGAATTTATCTGTTTGATTTGCTAATTGTTCTGAGTCTGCTAAAACCCCTAGCACCTTTTATAGGTGAAGAATATAGTTGAGTTTTGAAACTCAGACAAGCGTAATGGTCTTTCGGAATGTTCCAAAGGGTGCCGGGCATCAAGCCGACAGGACTTCAAGCCGAATCGTATAATTAGGGGCTTCAAACCAAACATTTTGTCAAAAAATTACAAATTAAGAGTAATTTGTAAACCGTTTTGAAGCAATTCTCAAATTCATGAGCTTCTTTTACAAATTAATGGTTTTTTCTTAATTTTTGGGCTTCTAATTAATGTTTAGGAATATTAATAACTAAAATTTTATTGAAGGTTTTTTTCAAGTGTATAATATATGCGTTTCAAAATTCGGCTGATTTAACCATCTGATGCCCCTAATAAAGACTCTAATACTATGAACTAAACCTGCCTAATTTTTTGAAATGAAACGTTTTATCGATGAAAACTTAGCGCTTTGAGGTGCTTGTAATGTTGAAAATTCGGCTTGAAGTTCTGTTGTTTTGCTCTCCTAGACCCGTTCCAGATGTTGACGTACCTCGTGATGGAGGGACCGAATGTTAGATATTTTTTTGCCATTTATTCTCAGTAAATTAGAACTGAGTATTGAAAAATTTGGAGAAAAAAATCACGGAAATCTCATAGAAACTGAATAAGTCTAGGATATTGAAACTAATATAGACTGATTAGAAAATGAACAACGAATTAATTTTCAAATTTGGCAAAATTTAAGTGGGGCGTTAGCAAAACCTTACAACGATTGTGAAAAAACTGAAAATGAAACTGAAAAAGAAAAATTTATTGTGTATCTGCAAGAAAATTTCACAGAATTTTCTGCTGTGCTGCTATAATCCATTTTCTGTTAAAAATAATTTCGTTTTTGTGCAAAAGCCATCTAGCTTATAGGAACGTCTGACGATTCTGATTGGTGAAAATTTTTCCATCATTCGATTTCTCCACAATGAGAATACCCCGCGTTCCAAGGGATTTTGTGTACTTGCAATTTTTTCTGTATTCGGTTCAAATCTTTACTTAACAACTTGACGAGATTTGTATATGAATTAATTTAACAAACAACTTTAGAATTTAAAATTTTTCAATTGTTTTTCAAAAAGTTTTTCTTTAATAAGTGAAAAAAGACTTTACTATTTGTTTAACCAAAAAGACCCCTCGGATGGATTATTTTAAAAAGATAGGCAAAAACCAAACTTTAAACTTTGATTCAGTGGTCTATCTTTATAAATTAATTCATCCGAGGGGCCTTGTCGGTTAAACTTTCTAAAAAAAAGAAAACTGAAAAATTCGATCTTTTTAAGAAACGCGAGATATTATTATAGGGCAGGTTAAAGTTTTTTAATGTTGGCGTTCTTTCTGGGTAAATTTCATAAATTTTGCACCAAATGCGTTTTTAATTGACAATTTGTTCGCAATTTCACATTATCTTGAGTTGATTCAATGCTCGAGATACCAGTCAAGAAATTGTAAAAAAACCGATCCGTTTTTGCATAGAAGTTTTCATTTTCATTTTTCATCATTTCGGGGGTTATGATCCAAGAGACTCCTTGACCAAAGAGACCAAAGTGATTCCTAGTTTATCTCAATACGTTTATCTTGACGCTGATTTGTTTTACAGTTTAAGAATGGCATCCAAAAACAACAAGGATTGTCGGTTGCTGTGCAAGCAGCACACAATGTTCCAATCACATCCATTGAAAACTGAAAAAAGAAGTGTTTTTTGTTTTTTCAAACAAAAGTCGCTTTTTGGGCGTGAGTGGATAGGTAAATTAGGTTAGACAATAGAGAATTATGCATACGCGAGAGCAGTTGCCTATGAAAATTGATTAACTCAGAAAATTGTGAATTATTTTGCGGAGCAAATATCTGATGCCAACAATTTTTTGCAAAGTGAGTTTTTATTGCGAAGAAAGCGCAAAGTAAGCCTTCCAAAAATAGTTTTGTTGAGAAACAGTAACGTTTTTCACTAATACGATGCATTTTTTAATGTAAAGAATCGCATTAAGATTCGAATTTGCTCGAATTTAGACTGACAAGTTTCTCTTACATGTGAATAAATTCCCCTCACTTAAAAATATGGATTCTCCCTTCAATCTATACGTTGTAAATTTTCATATTCCCCAAATTTCCTATTACAATTTGGTTTTACAAATTCTTTGACGCAATCAACAAAGTTGTTGAACCGACTACATGTTCAACGTTTATTGAGCTCGCTTTTGATAAAAACAGTAATTTGTTTCCAAGCAAGATCACTACACAATCTAACATATAAAAAATTAAATCTGTTATAAAAACGTCCCTTGAAAGACCGCCATAGGACTGAAAATCGGCTTTTTTGTGTGTCTCAGAGCCGGAATAAAACACCGTTGTTTTTGCTTCTCTTTGTAAAAAAAAATAGAAATGAGAACCCACCTTTCCAAAAAATCCTCCAAAAAATGTCGACGAGAAAATTAAAACGAGGCATTTTTGGACTTTCCTCAATTTAACTTCTGAGCATTCTTTATCAAAATACTATTATCTTGAACCTAGTAATTTTTTAGTAATTTATTATTAGTGCAGTTCATTGATTATAAAACTAACAAGACTGCTCGTATCAGGGCGAAGCCCTGAATGTTCCGACTGCCTATTAAGGTTTATGGAGCAGTAATAACATTTAAAAAATAAAAGTATTAAAACAAAATGAAAATTTTTTTTCCTAAAATTTGAAATTTTTTATGAAAATCATCCCCCCACACACCAATTAAACTACAAAAGGATAAAATTCGCTGCTTGTAACCAATCAATTATGGCAAATAAGCTTCGTTAAACCAATTTGGAACGATTTCTTAGACGCATTAATTCTCCGCTTTCGCGTTAATAACGCGAAATATTTCGCGCGTTAATTGTCCCAAATTGGCCAAAATGGCAATCTTTAAACCCCCATAATTTTACGAAAAACGATCACAGGTGAAATATCTTTTCAAATTCGAGCTCAAGACAACAATACCTTTCGAATGATATAAATAAATTCCGTCAAAAATGGCTAGTTAAAAAGTCGAAATTTGTCTGAAGAAAAAAAAACCCACCCCGAGCACAAATATTCCGTCACTTTCGTATCGAAAGTCGGAACAATAATCATTCCTGTGAGAAAAACGAATGAGAATTTACGATTCTAATCTAGCTTTGTGGTGAAAAGTTTTACTATTTCAAATTCTTCTCGGTTTACATTTACTTCAGATGTTTTTCATTTCTTTTGTAAATACAACTGCTGGAATTTCTAGGTGGCTTTCGTTGTGTTTTACCTCAAGCCTAATTTTGAGCCGCACATAAAAGTTTTTGCTTTATTCTTCAGTTTTCTCAGTTTTGAATTTTTGTTTTACAACTGGATCTGTACATAAAGTTTTAATTGTACAAAAAAAGTGTACAAATATTCGAACAAAATTTTACTGGGCCAAAGATAGCTATTTCATGAACAAAAATTTTTTCGTTCTCAAAAAAAATTTCCTTGCTGTCTTAAATTTTTTCTCCAAATTAGTAATGTGGCTTGACAGCGTTATATTTTCCCAAAGTTTTGAGTTTTCTGTCTTTGTCCTATTGACTGTTATTCCTGTAAAAACTTATTTCCCAAAATTTAAGCCAAGAATTGTTGTTTTTCCCATGCTCAATCCAATTTATTACTTATTTAACAAAAAACTGTTTCGTCAAACGCGCCATGATGACTGTTGCGTCTTTTGTTTTTGATATATCAGATAAATAGTAAAAGAATGCCAATTGTCTCAAAATGTAGACATATTGATTTTGATTTGATAAATATACTCATATGAACTAAAAAATCTCAGTTTATCTGACTGGCTTTTTGCAACAAAGTATTATGATCAAATGTAAGAAAAATCATTTCCTGATCAATAAATGCGCACTAAAAAGAAATGGATCGATCATTTCAGTCAAAGATAGCTTCTTCAATCAACGATACAAAAGAAACAATGGTGCTACGTTGATTATTGTTTCGACTTTTGATACGAAAGTAACGGAATATTTGTGCTTTTGTAGTAGCGGAATATCTGGGTTTTTTTTTCTTCAGACAAATTTCGACTTTTTAACTAGCCATATTTGACGGAATTTTTTTATATCATTCGAAAG